AGAGCTTTTTTTCATGATGCTGGTACTCAGACATGCGCACTTTACTTACTGAAAATGCCGGAAATATTTCAACGGTGAAGTTACGCGTAAAACATTTCTCGCTAAAAAAACGAAAATTCGATGAAAATATAAGCAGAATATATGTTTTTTACGATATTAAGTAGCACGAACGTACCCATTTTTTGTACTGTGCCATATTTTTATGTTCAGCTCATGAGCACAGAACTCCGAGAATGCTGATCTTTTTATAAGTCGTTTTCAGAAATTTTCCTTCTTTTACTTTACTTAATTCGATAGTCTTTTCCTTTTTCTCATAGGAAATAATGCTAGCGGAACAAGTTGATCGGCATGATTTGTTGATGGATAGGTAGAAGATGCAGTATGTCGACGAGACTCTATGGTCTTTTTGAATTCTTTCTGAATTCAAAATCGAAAGAAGCACCGCCACTGTAATGTAGCCCTAGGTATATGGGTCTAGAAAAATCGAAGTTAAATTCAATAATTATACATAAACTAATATGTATATGCACATAGTAATGTTCATGACTTTTTAACACAACTCTAAGTCTCTTGTCACGCAATGTCATAGTATAGTTCGATTACTATCGTCATGACACCAGCATCAGAACACACCTATGCATATGTGTATATGTATATCATCGTATAGGGTGAATTCTACGATAGGTGGGTCTATGATCTTTTATATTTCAAATTGAATTTTGAACAAAAAACGACCATCCCATATATATTCAGTACCAGGACTAAACGTACTAACAAATTCGTACAGTTCTAATCAATGAACAGAAAATAATGAATTTCTTATAAATCAAATATATCGGGTGGATTTACTTAAGGTTTCATCAATCAGATTTTGCCCTTATAACCATCAACTCTCACCTTCATCATCCTCTCCTACACTCTCACTTAGCTATATATCCTTATCACCCTCACCCTCACGCATCCTCAAGATAGTTATTAATATAGAAGTGAGAATAAGAACTTCGTAAAACTTGTTTTTTCTTCTTCTTTAATTCTAAAGAATATTTTTAATCGATTGATGGTAACAACAATATAATAAAATAAGATAGAAAAAGCCTTGAAGATGAATATCATATTACAAAAACAAACAATACTCATTATTGAGACACGTATTATTACTTTACACATGAAACAAAATCTCTTTTAATCTTTTTGTTTCTTTCTTGTTTTTGTTGTATCAATAATTCAATTGAAAATAATTTACAAATAATACTTTTATTCTTTATAGATAATAAATGTTTTAATTAAAAACATTATTTTTATTAAATATCTTTATTATAACACATTCTGCTAATAATTCATATAAATATATTGGTTGTTATGTACAAGAATTTCATGATAATTATTTTCAAAGTTCATATATGGAACCAACATTATGTTTTAGTTTATGTCAAACACCAATAATTTATATACGAAATTTCATATGTCGATGTGCATGGGCTGGTCTTATGGATCATAATCGACAAAATGATGATGATTGCAAATTACCTTGTCGAAAATTGGGTAATCGACGACTTAAAACAAACAATTCATGTGGTGGATATAAAGCATATTCAGCTTATATTAAAAATCATTTTTATATTAAATATATTCATTTATTTAATTATCAAATTCAATTAAAATCATGTGAATCTGAAGAGAATTATATGAATTTTAATATATTTCAAGTAGAAATTGACGGATTATCTATAAAATAACGCTCGTCGAGGGAGACTCGCGTTACCCTCGACAGATTGAGTTATACTTCAGATACAACTTGTGCTTCCAAATGATGTCTCGAGAACGGTCCTCGTCAAGTTCAACCTTTTTCAAAACTAACCAAACAACTGTCATCGTTCTTGTTATTTATGTAATGTCCATTATTCATGATCATTTTTCACACATGCAACAGCAGTTCGCTATGAATAGCTACTATGATCCTTGCGTCTTTTAGTAATGCGAAACTCGAAATTTCGACTCAACTATTCAACTATTTTTGCAGTCTTTTTTCAATTATTTGAATATTCGACTTCTTTCAAAATTCTTCTGTTCATCCTCACTGAAATGATGTCCCTTCAGAATCCTTTTACTCACTCGCAAGTATACGAATACTTGAATAATTGAACGGAAGGGTAGACTGTTGAATTTAAGTTTCAAACGATAGATATTTGGTATTATGACAATCTATGATTGTATACTTTTCCTCTTCTCTCTTTCTCTTCCTCTTCATATACAACAATTATCTGCTTTCTTCCTTTCTATATGAACTTCGACATTAGCCTCTTAATCCATATACCCAACATAGAGATGTTCATAGATTTATCTCTTCTTCTTATTATGTACCATTCATATAATATTGATATCAGAAACGCACTCTTATGTATGACTGTTTCTGCTCTCTGTGTTTTGAAAAGACTATGATTGCATGATCATCTGGCTCATCAACT